TGAGTAAGTATTTTAAAGTATGTATTTCATGTATGAGTGTGTCTATATGTAACAAAGTGTCTTATATTGATATGTAAGTTGTATAACAAGATTAGATGTGTGTGATGGTGTATATAATATGAAAGTACCTATTTATGTATGAATTCTGTATATATGTGCCATGTATGGGAATAAATGATAATATATAATACAATAATATGTAAGTTTTATAGTATGTTTAGGTGTTTGTTATAATGAATGTAATATTACTTTTTGAAATGTTGTGTTACACGGTGGAATACAACGCTTAAACTGATGAAACTTCCCTGTAAAAAGGTGCTCGGAATATTATACAAATATGTATATAATATGTGAGTATCTAAATATGTATGAACTAACCTATGGTTATATGAGTGTATGTGCATGTATGTGCTAGAGAACGGGATGAACGAAACTCATCGACATCTGTAAACGGTTGCCCGTATATTATATATATTTCTGTATGTTGTCAGGTAGAGGAATGACTACGAATATCTCTATAATTTAACGTGTATATTTTGAAAAATATAATTTTTTACAAGTTTATGTATGTATGTGTGTGTTCCGGTGTATAACGTATGCTTTAGCGATTCGTTTTTTCGTATGTAATTATATAATAAGAAAACTGTATACTATTTTTATGTATGTTTGTTTGTATGTATGTATGTATGTATGTATGTATGTATGTATGTATGTATGTATGTATGTATGTATGTATGTATGTATGTATGTATGTATGTATGTATGTATGTATGTATGTATGTATGTATGTATGTGTATAAGAGTTCATATGTAATTGAATGAATAAAGGACTGGGTGGCTTGTTTGTGTACTATATGGAATACTGGAATCATGCGTTTGTGTGTGTGTGTGTGTGTGTGTGTGTGTGTGTGTGTATGCATGCTTGTATGTATGATAAGGTATATATATATATGTTGAGCGTGTGTTCAGAATGAAAACTGATGAGTACCGTATGGTATCGTGTGTTTCATAGTATATTATAGTTATTAAGTGTTTGGTCATATCATATTTATATGTATAAATATACCTAAGTATCGTATATATTATGTAAATTGTATAATATGTTCAGGAGTTTGTGATAATGATGAGTATATAATTATTGTTTGGATATAAATTATGTAAGTATGTACCTATATATGTAAACTATATTATAATATATTTGAGATACATGGCGGTGTATGCTTTAGCGAGATGTTTATTCGAATGGGATTATAATCTGAAAATGGCATAATATTTTTAGATATGTGTTATGTTGTTACCTTATATGATATTATGAGCATGTATGTATTGTATGTATGATATAGTCGATACATATTTACATCAGAATATTATATATTTTTATTTTTAAAGGGGAAATAAGAAGGGGTAATATATTTGTTTAGGAAGGGGTAAAATATATGTCGGACAAGTGTTCGATATTGTCGATACAAATGTACATCAGAATATTATATATATTTTTTAAATGGTAAATAAAAGGGGAGGTAATGCATTTTAAGGAGAAGGCATAAAATATATGTCGGTCACGTGTTGGATCGGGTGGCTTGTGACGAGTTTATGTGTGTTGCGGGTTGCCTATATTGAGTAATTAATACAAGTTTGGGAGGAGCCTGTACTACGAATTGCCTATACAGAGAAGCCTATGCTTTTACATGTAAAATTTAAGGGGGAGGAGCTGCTGAACATACCAAATCATACTACTCATTGTAATTAATAAATTATAAAATGTTCAGTTTTTATAGCTAAGGATTGCAAATTCAACACAAAGGTTCTCGTAAATAGTTCATACTGTTACCAAAAAATCTAAAAAATATATGAACACAGTTATTTTTTACAGACATTTTAAATTCAAATTTGGACGAAATTACATAATAAAAAACCTAGAATAACTATTTTAGTTATTTTGTTGTGATGGTATAATATTTTTCGTGGGTACTTGAAACTTCTAAAGTATACTAGTATATATCTATGATAGTATCAGGGTTTGTTGTTGGTGTATAACGCGTTATAAGTACCTAATGGATATTGTGATATGATTAATTTTGAATTCATTATAGGCACCTAGGTACTATAGGTCAAATTTTGATTTAGTACCATAGATATGTATATGTCTTATACCTAGACTGACATACCGTCTCCGCTCAGAATCGTTTATCTTATACAATGATAATTTAATACCATCCATTATACAGTGACCCACTTATAGCCTACTGTACAGCAGAGCGACATCCACTTATCCACCTTTTGAAGTTATACTTCTTTACGCACGGTAGTGAGGAAAAAAAAAGCGAACGGGCGGAGCGTACGAACGCGAAAGCGTACATGTCCGGAAATAAATAAATATTGTCATGGTAATGTTGTTTTATTATATATTAATATATATCTGTATATATAAAACAGTAAGCTGATTGACTGCTTTCAACGCACAGCTCAAACCATTGGACGGATCTGGCTGAAATTTGGCATACAGTTAGCTATTATGAATTATGATGTAGACGTGCGCTAAGAAAGGATTTTTCGAAATTCGCATTTTAAATAGGTGCTCAAACAGGGACATTGAGATTCAAGATGGAAATTGGAAATTTTATTTTTATTTATGAATAGTTGCCATTGGTTACAGTCTACATTAGAAATTAGCATTTATTTATTGGTTGCCATTGGTTATTCGGGCAGATCAGGTACAAGCTTGCATCAAATCAAATTATTGAACATTGCCTACCAGGGTGGCTGAGTTGCACTTACCCCAGCAAGTTACACCCAAAAGGAGTTCAACAATCATAATTTTTTTAAGAGTTGTGATTTTTTACGAGCAACCAAATTTGTTATATTAATCCACCGTATTATATCAAAGTAAACTTGGTATAACTTTGATAATTTAGGGTCCGCGATCTACTGCAGGTAGATTGCCTACCTGATAATGCACTGCTGCGATTCAGAATTTTTATTCCGGGCAGCGGAAAAGATAAGATAAATTTTGAACACCATACACCGAATATTGAATAACGAATTGAACAAAGTTTGAGTCATAACTCATATTGAGTTGATACATTTAAAGGGCGACGAAGTGCACGGGATCAGCTAGTATTATATATTATAATCAGGCCATACTAATTAATATGAATAATTAATGATCGATTATTATTTATTTTTATTATTATTATTAGTATTCACTCACAAATCTATTGTCTGGATAAAAACAATACTACAAACAATTATCCATCGATCTGTCGAATAAAAATATAAAAAAAATAATAAAACTATCAATAATAAATAATTCCGGATACTTCTTCTCATTTTTTAAATTAATTAATATTTTTTTCTTTCTTTTTCACTCACTCACGTGTACCATTCAAAAGAAGTTTAACTTCCCCCCGCGCGTACTGGTAACACACATTTTTTCTATACAAATTTAGCCAATAATCAATATAGGTATTTACAATACTTTATAAAATAATGCTAAACGAAAGAACAAAACTAAATAATATGCTTTTACCTGGAAATAGAAATTTAGAAATAAAAAAACAAATTTTTGGTACTTATAATACTTACAAAAAAAATATTTAATTCAACAAAAGCAACAAATTAAGTCAGTCTGGAGTTTTGTTAGATCACAAAAAATTATAAAAATTTAATATACACCTCAAAAAACAATATGAGAAAATAAAAATAGGCAGTAACTTTCAGTAGGTATGAAATTATTATAAAAATTATCAACAAAATAAAAATAATAAATTGCAGTTGTTAGTTGTTGATTATTTTAGAATACTATAGTAAAATAAGTAATAACATAATATAATTTAAACAAAGGAATATAATAAAATAAGTAATAACTTAATATTATTTAAACAAAAGAATATAATAAAATAAGTAATAACATAGTAGGTTCTTTGAGTTTCGAGATCATCGTAACGTATATAATAAAATAAGATATAACATAATATTTTTTAAACAAATAAATTATTAAATTATCAATACAAAATGAATACATCATCAACAAAATAAAAATAATAATTTAGGTACTTTTGAGATCATCGGATGTTAAAAACTCTACTTCAACTTCAGTTTTTGACTCACATTCAGATTCATCATCAGCATATGGAATTTCAAAGCTTCCCTCACCTGAATTGTCTTCGTCCGTTTCATAATCGTCTTCATCGATGGTCATTGGCATATCATTCAAGCCCTGTCCCTGTGATGTAGTAGTAGATGAAGCAGAAATGAATGTTTTATGTTTAGGAATATTATGGATCAACTTAAAATTATGGCTAATGTATGTTATTTTACCAGCCCTATCACAAGTAAGTTTGTTTGGTTTTTTTGTATGAATGTTCCCATAAGTACTAAACCATCGTTCTGTGGCAGCTGATGTAGTTTGAGCAGTTAAAATACTTGTTGCAATTGATGAAAGAATAGAAAAATAACATAAACCATTCCACCATACAAGAGGTTCCAACTAGCAGATTCCCATAAATAATTTTTTAACCAAAACCCTGTGGATTTTGTTTTATAATTAGCCAACTCGGACATTATTTTATTAGCATCTAAACCTCTGGTTATTGAAATATTATAAATAAATTCAGAGGCATCAATATACTCTTCATGAATGAGTGAACAGTGAAGTTCCTTGGTCACAAGGATCGAGTACTGTTGCAGCCAAATTATTGGGTGTTATCATATTTAATTTTCTTCTTTGGAAATTAACACACATTTTTGTAGAATCAGTTAGTGACAAAAGCAATGAATCAGTGCTTTTGTTTAAGCAAGTTTCAATTTCCATTATAAACTTGTACACCTCATGGATATTTGGCGAATCTGATTCTTATAAAGTTATGCATTTAACCATAAGTTTTAATAAATTTATACATTTGTCAACATTTTCCCAAAAACCACTATCATCTAATAAAAGCTTTTTAATAGGAGCTGAAAATGTTGGTTCACGGACAGCTAAGATTTGTAAACTAAATTTAGTTGAGCTTAAACTTTCCAGGCAATATAAAAAAACTGGCCCATCTTGTTGGAGATGGTAGTTTTAGGGAACATAAAATGTTTTGTTCTTTATAAATGTTCTCTAAGCAAGCTTTGAGTATCTGCGAACGATTAATTGATTTTACAATTGATAAACTGTCTGATTTTAAATTGACTAAAGACTGAAGGATTACAATATCATTGGACAGTAGGTTTATAGAATGTGCTAAACAATTAAGAGGAACTAAACGAGGATACATATTTTTAAGCAACATGAAGCTTTTTTGAATATTTGCAGCATTATCACCAATTAGAGTAACAAATTTCATAGGATTTAACTCAATTAATACTTTTTTTATTTCATCTGAAATGTATTCCGCTGTATGTCGATTTTGACCAGTTGCAACACTTTTAACAAAAACTGGACGTGGTGTTGACAATACAAAATTCATAATTCCATTATTTCTAATATTGGTCCAACCATCACATTATAGATGTAGATGTGGGGCAGACAAAACAATTTCAAATACCTTTTTTTTCATTTCACTATATTGACTTTCTAACAATGCCCTCCGAGTTGGTATTTTATATACTGGACGACAAGCTGCAAACACTTTTTGCCATAGTGTATGTTCCAACATACGAAATGGAGCACCAGTGACATAAATTGCTTTTGCTATGTGATTATCAAGTTCATCCTTTGAAATATAGATACCACTTATTAGTTATTACTTCATAAAACCAATTTTATAAAAAGAAGTTGTTTAAAATTATTAGAAATTCACCTTTTGAGACTTATTCATTGAGTCAAAATAATGCTCAAGTGTTTGGGACTTGATAATGGTTGATGAACATTGTGACAGTACAGTATCATTTACCATTTCAGCAGCTAAACCAGAGACACTGTTATTATCATCAGTATCATCCAATACAGATTTTGAAACTCTTGCTACTGAACTAGCTGTAGAAGTTGATTCTAAAATTTGATGAAGATCACTAGTTACCAAGTCTGAAATGGAAAATTATTAAAAAACTTTGAAATATAATTAAAAAATATATTACATTGCATAAAATGAGAATGGTGAACACCAATCTTCATTTCCATCATCATTTATTAAACTTTTGGACTTTGAACTGCTTAGTTTCTTTTTCAGGATATGCTTGTTCAAATATTTGGTTTTAATATTAGCTGGACACTTGATGCACTTAGATATATGATAGTTCATTTTGGTTGCGTTAATAAAATTATAAAAAAACATTGTAATGAGTACACTGAACCCCGGAACGTCCGTTGACAGTGCATTTTACAAATTCTGACCATATTTTGGAATGATCACGATCTATTTTACAGTAGAATAGTAAAGTTCCTAAAGTTTTACTCAGGTCTGACACTGACTATCTGAGACAATTGGACGAATAAAAAAGATCTCTATTCTGTGAGTTCTGTGGAAGCTAAATGATAATTATTGATAATTGCTATAATTTTAAATTAATTATAAATTATAATAATAAAATTAATATATTTATATTTTTCTTTATCAGTAATCACTAATCACTTATCAGTTATCAGTATTCAGTAATCAGTGCCCAGTGGGCCCGTTAACCTAATAAATTTAACATGGTAGTAGTTATCTAAATAATAAACATGATAATAATATGAATATATGATTCATAAAAACAAAAAATAAATAAAATACTCACAAAGTGGTAAAGTAATTTATATTTATTACTTTACCGATAAATTACTTACTTTAAAATACTTTACCAAAGTAATATTACCGACTTACATCACTAATCGTGAGTGTCACCCACATCCTTCAATCCACACACACACACCCACACACACACACAGCGACCGGCCTACCGTGGACAGCATTAGTGCATTACACGCCAACACACCGCCGTAGCCGTGTCATCTGGTACAAAGAAAAAAAAACTGGTAAGTACTAAATATTATGTCAATATGATATTATTGTGATACATCATTTATTTGTAGAATTTAAATTTTAAACTACCTTCCTATTTTAACTAGCTATAAATAATAGATATTTACACTTTATAACTATTACCTTTATTATAGGTAATTACTGTTGAATCTGAAAAACGTGCTAATTCCTAATCATATTTTACAAAAAAACGTTGTTTAAAAAATTTGATTAAAAATTAAAAATTAGCATGTTTTGCATACGTCATATTAAATACTGTATAGTCATTGGTGGAAATCAGGGTGGTGGGGGGCTTGAGGAGGTTTAGCGTTAAGCCCCGCCTTTTTTAGTTTTGTAGGATCGAAGCCTCCTTCAACATGAAAAATATAGGAAAGCACGAGTAGAGGCTAAGAGGATTGCTTCTGTAACGTCAGAAGCAACTGGACAAGAATACCTGCGCAAATTAAACATTCTTAAATATATTGCAGAAAAAAGGGAGAATGAAAATCCCATTCAACTTGAAAATATATGTAGGTATATTGACTCAATAAAATAAGCAGGCTTACATACCAAATTTAACAATTAAATAATAATTTTTTAGATAACTTACTGAAACAAACCGAAGAAAATGATGAATTTACAAATGACGATATATTACTCATGAATGAAGAAATATTACACATTATTGAAGAAGATATAGATAATATTTCAATACTAAATCAGTTACTAACTCTACCTCCAAGAGTTCCAAAAAGAGGACATCCAAAAGGGTGATTGTAATATATTCCATATATTTTCAAATAATTATCCTTGATGAAATTTATTTTCATACTTTATATTTTAGGTAAAGACAAAAATGCCATTAGTATTGCAAAACGGAATAAGGTTTCAGGTTTAGTTCCTTTTGAAAAACTTTATGTACAAACTAGACATTTTGAAATGTTCATTTGGTTTGTGGATAAGAATGTGGCTAGTATTGCGGTATCTGGAAATGGATTAATAAGTGAAACAGCAATTTAAAATAATCCGAATAACACACATTGTGCTGTCTTAGACAGTTACTTTGCGATTGATGACATAAAAAGGCATTTTGACAGTGATGGCCGGGGTGCTCACCAACAAGTTGTGGAGATAAAGCGGATAAATCCAACATGGATATGTAAATCTTGCAATGGGAATTCATCAAATAACTCAATTGGTTGCAATAGATGCTTAAAGTGGTTTCAAGTGTGTCAATGTTAAAACAACATACAACATGAAAAAAAAAATATTTATGGTTTTGCAGTACCTGTAAGGTATCTTATGGTTGATAACTTAACAAACACATATAACTACTATTATGACTCTCTATTAAATAATATACATTATACTTTGTGATTTAAACATTTTATACTTTTTGCTTTTAAATATTAATAATAATATATGAACGACTGATTTACATTATTTGTAATCTATCTATCTAATCTGCTAATACTATAAAATGAAGAACAGCTGACTACAAGAACTGCTGTCTTTAGTGAAAATATGGAACGGAAAACGCCGTCTATAGTGAAACAGTGGCGTAAAAAATTAAACACCTACAGTTCGCCCTACCCGTTCCCGTCAATTACTTAGCGCGTTCAATCGCGTACCTTCGACGCGGCAGCCGTGGTTTTAAAATTTTTCAAAAATAAAATGTTTTTCGAAAAATGTTACGCTTTTCACACAGTTTTTCGACGGTTTTCTCATGCAGTTTGTTTTAAAAACCGCCGATGTGTGGTCCACAGCCATCGCAATCGACGCCAGCGTCGGTCGTTATTATTGCTGTTTTTATCTTTCTCGATTAATTTCGTCTTTTCAATCGCCGTTTGTGCTCTATTCGTTTAGTTTATTTATTTTAAAAGCCTTGAATATGCGATTTGTACGTAAATTCGGTGTGTACACTTTAAAATTCGCGTTCACGAAATGTCAGTTGGTCTTCGTTATAACGCACAACTGATATATTATACTGTTTTTTTTGTTTTGTTTTTAATTCAATAAATATTGCATTATATTATTGTAGACATATTATCTTGTCCTTAATAACGTAGGTATATTGCTTAACGTAAACACAATTTTTTGGTTTGATTTAAATAAATGTATTATTCAAACATACATAATAATAATGAAATAATAATAATAACGATCAGATCATTGAATAAATTACAATTAAAGTTTAAACAGTGTGTAGATACGTCGAATCATATAGTGGCGTATATAGAAATCATTTTTGAGTGGGCTGTAGTAGACAGAAACTAGCAAGTGATCTATTATTTAATAGATACTGTCTACTATATATTTAACAGTTTTTATAAACATATTCGTATATTTTGTTATTTTTCGACATGCTATGAAATATTATAACGTATAATAGCACCTAATAAAATATATTGTTGTTCTATTTAAAAAGACTGTAATTTCAGGGGGGCTGCATCCCACTGTGTCCACCCCCTATATACGACACTGCGTGGTACTGCAACCCTAAAAATAAAATTTCGAGTTGACTTTGCACCAGGTCGCCTAACCATGCCCATCTATATTATTTTATTATTATTATCATAATGATAAATTATTAACTTGAAATTATTATGTATTTCACAAGGTTCGTCGAGTTTGCATTCGACTATTATAATACGAGTACGATCGTTTCCTGGTTACGGAAAACATATGTGCACGTATAGGGAATGATAATAATCATAGGCGTGGGCATGGTTGCAGCGAATGATGTTTCGCTGCACCTGAAATTTATTTTGGATTTAGTGGGCTGGTAGATATATATTTGAAAGGTGGATGAATAATTTTAAACATATTGAGTATAAGAACTTTTAATTTGTATTGATTTTAATGATGTAATTGATGAATTTAAACATTTGCTACCAAGCACGATTTAAGATAGTATGGTTGCCCAACGAGGTATGATAAGACGGCATTGGATTTAAATCGGACTCCCGGTGCTAGCGCTTCTAGTGGACTATTTTATAATTGATAATATAATATGATCATTATATATATTTTTATTGTATTTAGGTATAACATAACAATTTTTATTAGTTTTAATTTGAACCGATGTGAGAGCTGCATGCGGGGGACCCCGTATATCACGTGACTTTTCGATTCAAACCTTATGTCGTGTGATAACATTTTTCTAATGGGTCGATGGGCAACCATACTATCTTAAATCGTGCTACCAAGTAATCACAGACTTATATTGTAAGTCTATTTATTTAATTTTCTTTTACGTACTTAACTCTTAAGAGTTCCAATATTAAATACCTATTATTAATTAGGTACTAGGTACTATAATGCTTATAGGTGTTATTTTATTACCTATGTGATGTTTAATATAATTATAAAAATATAGAGTAATATATTATAATACATACAAATATTATTACTTTTTATTTACAATTTACTATATTTCTTATAACCATAATAGGCATAGTCGTAGACTGTAGAGTGATTAATAATTATAGGGGCGGGGGCTATATAAAGAAAATAAGTGGGTTGCTTATTGTTCTTTAGGGCCTGTTAAAAATGTATGCTGCACCCGACACAAAATCCTGTGCACGCCTATGATAATAATATACCAATATAATGTACCAAACATTTTTTTTTTAAAGCCGCATTCCCACGACTGGTGTACTTGTCAAATACGCCAATAATTGTACATTTGGCCAGTGCACGATGAGGGTGTTCACACGACTGGTGTACTTGACAAGTACGCCAATACTTGAGCACTTGTACAAGTAGCCAAGTACACTGTTCCCACTGCTGGCTGTTATAGCAAATATTGGTGGTGGGGGGGCACACTTAAATAATAATATTTTCAATTTTTTGTTTTTGGGAAATTTAAGTTAGAAATTAGTCTAGTCCTAATCGTTGTGTGGTAAAGACTTAGGTACCTACTAGATAGCTTATTATTTATTATTGTAGTTTAACACAATTTAATAAATAATTTATTGGACTATGATAAGTGAAAACGACAAAGCACTAGTTTGTGCTTCATTTATTGTGATGTGTGGTGAATATTTAAAAAATAAGAAAAAAATCAAAAGTCCAAAGAAGAGAAGGTGGTGGATGACGACAATACATCAAAGTCGCAAGAAGTAAGTTTATTACGTTTTAAATCCTTATAGCTACCAATGTATATATATTCTGTATATATAAAATACTAGAATATTAAATAGTCAATAGATACTTTTATTTCATATTCAAAATAAGTTTTACTATTTAAAATGATTTACTTGTTTACTACGTAAGTATTACGATTTACGGATCCGCAATAATATATTCTACCTACAGTGTAGCTGCTAACTATATTTTAAGTTAAAATAAGAACTTATATAACCATTGGAACATATTATTGTTTAATGATTATGATATAATACTTTGATAGGTACAATGCCACAAATCTCATGGAGGACCTAAGACGAGAACCATCTGGTAAATTTGAAAACTTTTGCAGGATGTCGGCCACTGACTTTGAATTTTTACTTAGTAAAATTGGACCAGTAATTAAAAAAAATGATACAATTATGAGAGAAGCAATCCCTGTACAAGAAAGGTTACCACACATTAGCTTTTTTTTCAAATAATTATTATTATCTAATATACTTTAAAATAAATTATTAAAGGTTAGCAGTGACACTCAGGTTTTTGGCTTCCGGTGACAGTTTTAGAAGTTTATCTTATTTATTTAAATTTTCTTCCCAAACTGTTTCCCGATGCGTGTTTGATGTTTGTGACGCATTGATAGATGTACTTAAGGATGAAATCAAGGTAAGATTACATGAACGTGTTTAATTTTCAATAATTTACGATATATACTGTAATCATAAATATCATCAAATACTTATTAAATAAAAAAATCTTGTCCTCATTAATTGTCCAAATAAAAACTTTAACTATTAGTTATTACTTAACTTGTTACTAACTTTGAATAACTTAATATTTAATAAATTGCTTTTTGTTATTATTTTAAATAAATATAACAAAACTAAAAACCGAGAATTCTAAAATCGTTATGTAAATAAAATATAACCTTGAATATAAAGAGTAGGTATAATAAAATACTTAAATATAAAAATATTAACCTTTATAAAACATTACTAATATCCATGTTGAGTATTACCAGTATTGGATTCATCGGTAGTCATTCCAGATATCTGTGAAATATTCTGAGGATGTTGGAACTGTTGGGCGTAAGAAAAAGGAGATGGTTGAGAATAGAACGAAGATGCTGAATTGATAGAAGTAGGAAAATTATACGAGTTATATGAAGCAGTCGGAACATTTTGTTGCAGATTTTCCAATTGGTAATTAGGTTGAGACGTTGTGGGTAGCTGATTTTCAATTTGAAATTTTGTTTTCAAAATTAAAGTATCCATTTCGTGCATAAGAAAATACTGTGTTTTTTCATCAAATTCACTTAATTTTTCACCAAGAAGTTCCCCGTAAAGTTGGCATCGATTTTTTTTTGGTTTATCACAAACAGTTTTCATAATATTGTAGGCGTCCTCCATACGCTTTTCAATAACATCAGTAGAATCAAGTTTACGTTTTTTATTATTTTTTCGAGTGGGTGGTGTACAACTTTCCACAATACTTGTACTGATATCCACATTTTCTTCGGCACTACAGTTATCAAACATATCTGCAGATGATGACATGTCCTCTTCTAAGCCCTAACAAGGAAAAATAAATGGTTGTTTTAAAACTAAAATGGTGGGCAAGTGGATATTGCTCTGCTGTATAGTAGGTTACAAGTGGGTCACTGTAATGGATGGTATTACATTTGAATTCAATGATATAATATCATTGTATACGAAAAACGATTCTGAGCGAAGACGGTTAGTCTTATAAATAATAATATCTTACTGAGTGTATTTGATGGTATTATTGTGAATAAAATAATTAATTTTAGTATTAGGCATTAGTATTTTCTACAGAAGGTTAAATTCATTTTTTCCAAAAAAAATACATTTTAAAATATTATTGCCTGTATATAAAATATAACAATATTGAATATTATACTCTAAAATCTACTAAAATCATTTTTCTTGGTTTTAATATGTAATTTCGTCGAAATTTGAATTTAAAATGTCAGTAATAATAAACTGTTTTTATATATTTTTTAGATTTTTTAGTTATAGTATGAATTATTTATGAGAATCTTTGTTTTAAATTTTCAATCCATAGTTATAAAAACTGTACATTTTATAATA